GTGTCGCGTCGACATTCGCACGTCATTATCTCCTTGCTAAAAATTACCTACATCAAAACGCCATGATCATCACGACCATCAGAAAACTGAAATATTTCTATGAAGTTTGAAATTTTGTAAAGCATTTCAATAGATCTTTACCAAATGGCGACACATGTTACAGAGCTTGGAGGGCGGTGGCAAATCTCGCAATTAGTTTAAGAGGCATTCATTCTTCATTTAATGTGTGAAGTAGATGTCGGCTATAGACGAAGAAGAACGAGCTTGACAAGTGATAAAGCACGAATTATTTGCTCGATTAACCTTCTCCCCGACACCATTAACCCTGTGTTCAGAATACCGAAAGGAACAAAAAATGTTTTAGTCTGAACGTACGTTGTTTAGAAACGTCGTATACTGAAAGCCTGTTGAGTATCGTTTCGAACGAAAACTCGATAAAGAGCCACCATCTATAGTTCTATTCTGAACGTCGTATCGTACGAAAATCGTATAACTGGGCGGGGCTTAACGTGACCGCGCACTCATGATTGGCCGGCTGTCATTTCAACAGATCTCGTCAAAATCATGCAGTTTTTGATACGACATTTCTTTTTACGATGTTTGTTATCTAGTCCGTACGCAATACGATAATTCTTCATACGACATTTCTTTATACGATGTTTGTTATCTAGTCCGTACGCAATACGTTGATTATTCATACGACGTTTCATTTTACGACTTTCGTATACATTTCGTACAGTCTGAACAGGCTAAAACGGTTTGGGATCGGTGAAAAAAATGAAGATTACGTGAGCCGTCCTCGTTACGAAATGCCCTATCACGAAATGACATTGATTTTCCATGGTTGGTCGGGATGAACTGTCTCGTAATGAATTTTCTTCCCACTGACCTTTCTGGAGCCTATACTCGCAGGTCGTAAATCACAGGGTTTTTTTCGTTGCCATTTTGGAGAGCAAAGTGTCAAGATGAGGAATCTCTGCAGATCACGAAGAAATCTTCGAATCACAGATAAGACAATAATTATCTTCTATCAAAGAGTCAGAGTGTCAAAAAAAGATTATTTTATTGATTTGATTTTCCCATTAAAAAACCCCAACACATTTATGATACAAACATGCATTATTAACGCTATCAGATTCAGAGGGAGGGGAGGACTTTATGATGTACCTCGAGTGCATTACAGTAGGGCATTTTCGTAATGTAACCAAATGTGTGCATATGCCTTTGTGAACCACCTCGATACGATTGATTTCATTCACCTGTTACGATCACTGTATCTCAATAGTCAGAATTCAAATTGTATATATTAGTTGTTGCCAGGTAGGACAAACATTATGGCTTGCCCCACATAACAACACGTAATATTATGTGATACTCGAGCCAATAAATTTGGTGACATTACCACAATGACCCATCGGTTTGAAATGCACCCATTTTCTTTCGATCGGCGCGACGAAGTGATAGATTTCTACTTGCCATAATTCATGTAATTAGTGAACGGTATACAGGGCATTCAGGTATTGAGTGAAAGTTCATGGCCGGTGTTTGACTGTGATTGTGATATGGACAGCGAGGTGCTAGAAATTAGAAAAGATTTTCATCTCAGTATTCACGAGTTTTGATTAATAGATGTTGCCTCTTTGAAAAGTCCACCCACTTTCCCATGTATTTTATAGAAGATCAAAGCAAAATAATACTCACGGGGAATAGGGGAATATTCATTTTTTTTTCTCGGGGCGGGCGGCGTGGGGGGGGGGGGGGGGGGTGCGTTAATGTTACTGGGTTATTTAAAACGGTGATTCAGCACATGTAGTATAATAAAGTACCTATTGAAATCTAATGGGGGGAATATAATGTCCACAGAGAGAGAGAGAGAGAGGGGGGGGGGGAGTACACTGTGGGCGTTCTTATGCATGTGAATGTGAACTTATATTTCACAGGAATCATTATAAGGAAACAATACTGAATACCAATGTTTTTTAATTGGTTTGAACTTGAGGCCGGATAGAACTGCATGATATCAAACGACATAACAAAATATGAAACAACGCCACATAAGACGGGAATTGACCCTCATTTATCTTCGCACTAATGCTATACTTTTTTTTCTTTCCTTCTTCGGTATTTATACCGGGCTTGCCTGTATTTAGGCTACATTTACGAGCTAATCTTTGCTTCGGGTATTTGTACTACGTGTACTATGGTGGGCAGCTCGCCAGCTGTAGGGAACTCTAAGCAAACACTCGCAAGTTTACATTATCATCTTCATCTTCAAATTGACAGAGAATTATAGAAATCGATATCGTACTGGCGAGTACAATTTATTCGAAATACAAAATCCTTAGTTGATAAAATAATAGTTGGGACTTCTCGATAATAATGAAGTAGGGACGTGATGATCTTAACTTCCACTTTAAGTATTATGTTACACCTGTGTGCCAAGTGGGACTAAAAAAAGACTAGCAGTAATATTATACACTTTTTGGACCTGTATCTAAAATGCATTGTGTTATACACGAGCAAAGGATGATAGGGCAACGCATAGTCTACGGAAATCGATGGTATCGCTATTAAAGGGTAAGTCCTCTCCCCCAAAAATGCTTTTAATAATAGATGCAGAAAAACAAGAGAAACAGAGCCAAAATAATTTGAGTAAAATCGGATAACTAATAAGGAAGTTAAGGATTTTTTTTAAAGTATGAAAAACTATGGAACTTAAAAAAATCACTAAACAAATTGCAAATTTGGTTATCACTTTGTGACGTCATTACCTGACTATTTATCAATTGCTTAATATATTTTTTTATCCCATTAATTCAGTTTTATTCCCCAAAACTTGATTCCCCCATGCCTTTGCCCAGGTTAAATAATTTGTATCATATTGCGTGCATGACATTTCACAAACTCTTTAATGAACTTTGAAGGATTGATACTATTTTCTGAATATTTTATATCATTGATTTGTACATAATTTTAATAGTTTATCAAAATACACATTTTTCATGATTTAACTGAAAAAAATACTTTATACAGTATACTTAGTACATCCACCAAAAACATGTACTATTAATATAACTTGGATGCTGGTGTGAGGAAATAGGAAATTTATATTATCAATTTAAAGAAAACATTTCGTGGATAGTGAGGCAATGACATCACCGACTCGTGAGTGAGTTGCCAATTTGTCTTGTGATTTTCAAAGTTTTTCAAGTCAATAAAAATTCATAAACTCTCTTATTAGTCATCAGATTTTGCTCAAACTTTTTTCGATTGGTTTCTCTGATCTATCTACTTCTATTGAAAGTAAGTTATTTTTGGAGTGGACTTACCCTTTAAACCTACGTTGTATATGGGAATTCAGTGGTCAACGGGTCAACTAGAATTTCAATATAATAATGAAAGTAACTCATACACTTAAAAAACGACTGGTAAGCTTCTACGGATGTCAAAATGGAATGAAAGTGGTTTTATATTTTTAATGTAAAATCGTCAGGTGGTTCAATATGGGGCTTATCGTGCAGTGTCTGATGTAGATAACCTCGTGAACTGATGTTATCTTAACGACCAATATTTAAACATTGGTAAAGCAAGATAACCTGCATAAACCGGAATATTCAAATATAGTGTCTTTAAGATGTCTTGTTGTTGGAATAAGTGCATGCCTGTGGCGGGCAACCTTCCTAAGAGGGTACTTTAGACGATTCGGCTACTGCACATTTTGACAATATTTGGGAGGGATAAGAGTTTCCCTGTGGGCTATTGGGACGACTCAGAAAAAGGCGAAGGGTTCACGAAAAGGCAGGTGCTAACACATTGCAAATACGACAAACTTGTAAATGTACCAACAAACATACTCAAGGATCTTAAATGTAAAGTTGGGTGTCCCCCTTGCTAAATGTAGTCCTTTATTTAAGACCCATGATCACGTCTTGGCCCATTTAACTACGTGCTTCATTTAAGAGAAAGAGAGAGAGAGAGAGAGAGAGAGAGAGAGATTGAGGGAGAGTATATACATGTAGATAGGGTGAAGGGAAAAGGAAAGATCTCATTTACAGCCGACATCAAATTCTGTAGAACTTTGCAGGAAATATGAATATGTCACGTATGTCCTATCTGTGGAATTTAAACGTTAGAAATGTCCTAATATTCATATTATGCAAGGAAACCCGTTTACTTTCTAAACTTCACTGTCAGACACTTTTGAGTGACTGAGTGACTTATTATTTTCTTTGGTAATAACTTACAGAAAATGAGCTGAACAGGATACATGAACATTTGTCTACATCAATAACCCACTCCTTGTAATCTGGCCAAAGTTAAACTGATTGAATCTTTGCGCAACACCAAACGTACCAGCATTCGGTACAAGGGTCTGAAAATCAGACTATTACAAAATGAATTGCAATCACTAAAGTCGATTTGACAACTAATGGTCGTTTTTTCCTCACTTAAAGGCATTTTCAAGCCCCTTTTTTTCTTAGGGAAGTTCTAAATTAGTGTTATCTTTCAAATGCCGTTGGAATTTAACATTTTCATTTTGGGGGCCTGCAAATGGGACATATACCTTTAAAGGTAAAACATATTTAAAACTTCTCAGATTAGGCTACTTTGGGTAATACATTTTTTAGCAAGCTATTCTAAAATTGGTAATGTATTTTGTTCATATTGGTAATTATTTTGTCCATTTGTTATCAGCAAAACCTGGGCTAAATCAATATTTCCTAATTAGCAAATAGCGCAAAATTCAAATTTGCTTAACAACGAATGCATAAACTATACTATACAAGGCTTTTAAAATTGCCTCAGGATGATTTTGTTCGAAAGTCATTGCGATCGTGTTCGAGATGAATTAACCCATTGCTTACTGGAACATGGTGGTCCCTGTGTTAAGTCTATGGGAATTAGACAATTCAGTAGTCAACGGGTTAAGAACGAATGATATGGCTGCCGATTGATGATACTACTACTACTACTTCAACTACTACTTCCACTATACTTACACATGAATTTTCCCAGTGGCCAGCCCGTCATCGGATTGTAGGTCTCCACCAGCCCGACAGGCACGCATATCAAGAGGACCAGCATGTCGGCAATGCTTAGGTTTAGAAGAAAGTAATTGGTAGAGCTCCGCATGTCGTGTTGGCGCCATATTACGAGGGCTACCAAAATGTTACCCGTCACCCCTACGAGGAACAGGGTTGTGAACGTAAAGGTGGTAACAGCCAGGGCCGCCGGGCTGAGGACTTGCTCGATCGCACTGCAGGAGACGTTGCTTGGATCGTAGCTGGAACCTGAACTGTAGTTAGACACTTCCATTATATTATGGCGTAGTTTTTCTCCTCCTTTAATGTTAGAGTCGGTTACTAGTAGACGCGTCAAAAATAGAATGAATTCCACTATTCGGATCCTGAAAAAATATGCACAAGTATTCAATTTTGGCAAAGAGAGTACATGCTGACATGTCTTTCGCGAGTTTCAACGGTCAACCTTGTCTGGTAATGTAAAGCCTCTGTTAATTTAAGCATTTACAACCTTATCTAAGGGCAAGTTGTAAATGTAATACGCCGTGAAATCTTTCGTTTTTGTGAAGATACATTTTGATAGATTTCTTTTCAAAGAACGTGGCTGGTATAGTGCTAAAACTTCACAATTATCTATATTCATAAATGTTAGCTATTGGAGGGGATTCACCCTCGCATTAAAATATCTGGTGAATTAAAATATATAATCTTCATTTTCAATCAAAAACATAATGATGAGACCTTAAAGTTTTCACTTCATAACACTTTCCAAGGCTATTTAAGATGATGAATTCCTTATGAAAAAGAGAATCGAAATTACGACTAATTAATTCTTTGTTTTATTTCGGGTCCACAGGACAAATCAAGTCTTACAGTTGATATCACTATGCAAAAAATATATATAAGAGTGAAGAGGTAGAAACTTGAAGCGAAGAAGATCGGGATACTCTGTCGATCTCAAATCAAAGCTTTGGTTAAATATCACTCAGATGCAACGTGACTGCTTGTTTTTATCGTCGATAAAAGATCCAAAACGAGTCAAGAAGCTCTTCTCACCGACACCATCATTCACAAGTTGCACGGCCCCCATATTTGCACACCCTGCATCTCACATTAATTGTACACGCCGCAATCAGATTATACCTCTCCATTTTCGCTGACCGTTTAGAGACGTTTTTCTCTTTCCAGTTTAGAGACGATCGTGATAGCTGAGTAAACCCACTCGATTTCCAGTTGCAATTGAAAACAAAATGTTGGGAGTAGAAGAAGAGCATTGTTGCCACACCGTCTACACTTGGTTGCTAGGCTCCGTGTAAATGATTGATGCTTGATGATCGCTCCGCGACACAACCTAAAACTCTCTAGCTCGACTTTTCGACGCGCGCGAAACTTCAAGAATTCCTTGTCCGTTGTTTTAATTTGAGATAGTAAACCAACTGTATGTATTTGAATAGCGGCAGAGTGAAGTAATAATATATCAATCTATCATTTCCTGTTTTCAGTTTATTTCTTCCATTCTCGGGAGCAATGGTGGTCGACATGTCCTTACGCATTTAAAATGTTCATTGGCATATCAAGCATTGGGTAAATTAAAGCCAGCATACATCACCTAAATCCATGAACACAAAGTATACACACCCACACGCACACGCACGCATTTACGTACACGCACAACACATGAACACGCACACATTTTGAAGACCCAGAAAAAAGAAAGGAGAGTAACGCAACTAACTGTATAGTGGGTCATAGAGAAGCAGGTCCACCGAGATACATTCCGCCCACGTCTATATTGAGGGGTTCGACCCCCTCCTTATCATTTACTTGACAATTGATATGCCATTATGATATGATGTTGAGAGCAGGGGCGTACGCAGGGGGGGGGTTTGGGGGTTCAAACCCCCCCTTTGGTATTTTTATGTGTGTAAACCCCCCTAAAAAAACCTAAAAGTCCCCCCCCTTTGGTTTTTTTATTATTATAAAAAAAAAATAAAAAAAAATATATGCCCACGGCTAACCTAAAAAAGGTGACCTTCCCCCCCCCCCCCAACGAAGAAAAATGTCAATTTTTCAAATTTCGAGACCAAAAAAAAAAAAAAAAGTGTCCGCTTAGCCCCCCCCCCCCCCCCCCCCCCCCCCCACTGAGCGAATTTTCGGCTGGCTGAGTCGTTGCGATTTTTTTTTGGACTCGAAAAAAAAAAAAAAAAAGTGTCCGCTTACCCCCCCCCCCCCCCCCTCCCCCCCCCCCCCCCTTTAAAATGATCAGAGATACATAACATAAACTGGGCAGCAGATCCTGCATGGCCAGCTGTCAACAATTATCTTTCGATACATGAAGTGGCTATTGTTCACAATTGCATAATATAATTAACCAATATTTATATATATATATATATATATATATATATATATATATATATGAATACATGTCAATATATATACAATACATATGTTTTCTCTTTGTAAATGTTTTTATCTATTGAATTTTGCTCCTATATAAATTATATATCTACTCATATTTAGTGTGATATACTTGGTAGATAAAGAGTTATGGACAGAAATTCGAGTGAGGGGGCCTTAATAGAAACAAGGACAACTCCTCTACATTCACGCGCAAATAGGAGCAAAAGGAAAAAAAAAAAAAACTTTCGAGAAAAAAATGAGCACATTTTTTTTTTTTTGATCCTCAAAAAAAAAAATTCAATTTGCACCCCCCCTTGAGCGCCAGGGGGGGGGGGGGGGCCAACCTCCCAAAAAGGTAAAAATCACGTGATTTTACATGATTTTTTTCTCTAGGGGGGGGGGGGGCCCGGGCCCCCCGGGCCCCTCTCCCCCCTGGATCCGCCACTGCCAGGTTAAACAACTTGCTGTTTCCCTTTTTTTGTCTTCAGTGGGGGCGGGTCGATGGTTGGAAATGTTCAGTACCTTTTAATAAACAATGTGTTTCATAATTTATCGACTATGAAAACAGATTTACGTCTCTTCCATTTGTATTATTTTGTACTATTTGGTACTGTACTTAGACCCCTGAGCCCCCCCCCCCCCCTCCGTCTCCATTTGATAATGTATTTCGTTAGTTGGGTTATAGTATTTTTCACTTTATACATGCAAGTATTTATATATGCTATTCATGCAGCAAATGGACAATCATAAGAAATATGAAAATGAAACCTATCATGTAAATATGAGAAGGAGCATGACCATGCCCCCATCAGATTGGTATAAGTTTGCAATTCATGACATCATTCGTTTTTATGGACGAGCATTTCACTTCATGAAGGTATGCCATGGTTGGGGTTTCAGTTTGTCTTGCAAATAAAAGTGCATTATCATGCACGTGATCTCCCCCTTCTCTCTCTTTGTTCTCTCTCTCTCTCTCTCTCTCTCTCACTTCTCTTTCTCTAATCATGATATCATGATATCCTGTCTTTCTCTTTTTTCCTTTCGTTCTCTCCCTCCGATTCTCTTTCTCTTTATTTTATTTATCTCCCTTCTCTCTACCTCTCTCCACTCTCTTAAACTTCCATGATTGCAAGACCCTCTCTAAAGGTCTACTGAGAAATACACACGATTCGGATATTGTTCATGAAATGTCATTTCGATCAGGTTTCACATTCCATGACACTTTTCCCATTTTCCACGCTAGGACTTCGTTTAAATGTGTGTGTGTGTGTGTGTGAGAGAGAGAGAGAGAGAGAGAGAGAGAGAGAGAGAGGGGGGGGGGGGGGAGGTGGGAAAAGGAGGAGGTTAATTATTTGGAAAGTAACAGAGAATAGAGATTGAACAAGATTGAAAGTAGAAGATTGAAAAAGATAAAAAGGTAAAAAGCAAAATACGAAGAACAAAAAGAAGAAGGTGAAGAAGAAAATTCAGAGAGAGGAAAGAGAAGAAGAAGGAGAAATAAAGAAAAAGAAGACGAACAAGAAGAAGACGAAGATTGAGAAGGAGAAGAAGGAAAAGAATAAAGAAGAAGAAGAAGAAGGCAGAAAGGAGAAGTAGGAGGAGCGGTAGACGATAATTATAATTAAGGATAGCGAAAGAAAAGAGGAATCTAATTTTTAAAGAGAAGAAAACGGGAATGAGTTATTCAGAGAAATCGACGAGTGAATTTTAAATTTGAATTAATATTTAGAGGGGAAGAAATAAAATAGATGCCTAGGAGTGAAAAATAAATAAATTAGATAATATGAATGGAGTGGAGGTCATAGCGATGATGAAATTGTGAGTACACACTTTGTTAAGATATAGAATAGGGGTGAATCCTTTTATACCAGTAATTTCACCGTATTTCGATTTGTAGGTCTATTCTTATATCCCTGTTCAAATGATCAAAACAAGCCTCATCTTGTCTTCGAATTTTGATGAAAATTTCTTACCGTTGATACGTCTTTTCTATCATCAAATCAAGTACATTCATCTCCATTGAATCAAAGATCACATCAAAGCCAGAGGCATAGCTCTACGAGGGGGCACAGAGACACGTGAACCCCTCCCCCCCCCCCCCGCTGAATGGTGACAAAATAGAGAAGTAGAGGGAAGGGAAGAGAGATTGGGAAAGAGCAGGGAGAGGAGGAGGAGGAGGAGGAGGAGGAGGAGGAGGAGGAGGAAGGGAAGGGGATGTGAACAGATGATGATTGGACCACCTCTCATCCCCATAGCTGGCGTTCATATTAATTTTACTGTGCAGTGCCCCCCCCCCCGCCCCTTAATTGCTATACGATATTGTCATGGGCTAATAAAGAACACTGGTCAGTAAGCAACTGGTGTCGTGATGTTTAATAAAGAAATAGATGGGCCTGAGTGTATGTATGCAGGAAATATGAATAAAGGGAATATGTCTTTACTGTGCCAACATTAATTCAACGAATGCAATGTACCGCCATTGGTATACCTTCGCAGGTTCGCAGGTTGAGTTTCGGATTACATATTACAAATATTGACACTTATACAGAGTCAGTTACAAAATCGAGAAAGATATCATAATAATGCCAGTATGACATTTGATATATGTACAAATAAAAAAAACGTATTGTTGATATAGCGAGAGGAATCG